GTGTAATTACTACACCTAAAAAACTATTTAAGAAATTAGACTATATAAAGATAGACACTTTAATTACTAATAGCACTTTTAAGGTTATAGTGTATAACTTAATAAAGTACAAAGGTTAGATTTTTAACCTCTGCCTTATATAAAAAGTAAAAGGCAAAATAACTTAACTATATAAGAAATCCTGCCTAGTGTTTGCTAGCTACTTAGATAAAAAGAAAAAAGAAATTTTTACCTAGTTACTAACTATCTAGAAGATAAGCTAGAGACTACTCTTAGCTATAAAAGCAAGCCTAAGAGCTACATACAGAATACATTTTAAACTATATAATATTATATAAGTATATATTTAATTAACAGATAAGCTTATGCGCACGCTGTATATAAAGCTACTAAAGGAGATGCGCTAGAGCTTTCTACTAAATATAATACTCTAGGTTATACAACTCTTATATAGAGCTACTAAATTAGGACTATATTAGTTTAAAACATATTATAACTACTATAAAAAAAAGCTGCGCATGCACATCTTTTTATATAACCCTTACCTTTTAATTACTAATAAAGAAGAGCACACTTTTAGTATTACTAGCCTATAGATAGATAACACTTTAAGCATTATAATAAAGAATTTTATATAAAAAAAAAAGAAAAAACTATAAAAAGTAAAGTTTTATATAAAAGGTAAAACTATTTTAGTAAAAAAGTAGCTTATTAAGTTTAATAGTAAAAAGATTAAACTTACATATAACATAGTAGTTTTTACTTAGAAAAGATAAGTAAGCTACTTTTATATAATTAACTTAGAGGACAAGAATGCTGCATAATAATATGTTAAGTAATATGTAAGAGAGGTATATATTACATTTATGTGTTAACTAGAGGTAGTATTTAATTTATTTATTACTGCACAAACTATAGACCTTTTACATAATAATATTAACACACTTAATGCATAAATCTAATAGTAGATAGATAATAGTAAGCGCAGTTTTACCTTTCTACTATTATAGCTTAATTATGTAAAGCTGTTTATCTTTATAAATAAATTATTTACTAATAATAAGAACCTTAGCTTATAGCTAGAATTCTTAATTATATTAAGTAATAAGGACTATATAGAGTAAAGTAACTACTTTAAAATACTAGGTAATATTATACACTAGAATTCTACTAAGTGTAAAAGAGTAACTAGGAGTGTTCTTACTAGTAAACTATATAGAATAGTTAAAAAGTTTAATAATGTAATTACTTTTAGTACAACTTTATAGTAAATTATATAAACGCTTAAACTACTACTAATCCTAGTAGTAATCTGCATAGATTTAAGGTTTTTGTATAATTACTTTATTAAGCTAGGCACTACTAGTAAAAAGTAACTTATAATTAACATTATGTTACTCTATAAATTATATAAGAAAAGGGAAATTACTAAGATAAAGTAAATTAATAGTAAAGACAACCTAGTAAATGTATGTATAAAGAAAACACTAAACTAAGCTTTTTAATTATTAGTCCTAACTAACTGCCTTTTTGTCTAGATAGAAGCATCTGTGGACTAGCTAGATTCTGTGCGCAAAGATGCCTTAGACTAACTAGACTAACAACGCCTTTATATAAAGCTTATTTCTCTTTGTTTTATTTTTTTTTTGTTATACATACTTATCTTTTTTATTATAAGGATCTGTTACTGTCAGCACTGTACAAAAAAAAAAAAAAAAAAGAGAAAAGAGCTAGGGGATTATACAGTAGAGCTTAGAAAGCTAAGAATAAAGAAAAGAAAAGCTATTTACATAGCACAACTAGCCTATTCTAACGCATAGCATTACTAAGGTAAGTCCTAATAAATAGGGTAGAGTAAAGGCAGAATGTAATTAGATAGACCTACATAAATAGAAGAGAGGTAACACGTACAGAAGGCAACTTTTTAGACAAAAAGAAAAGTTGCTAGTGTCTGTACGCAGCAGCAGCGTCGCGGCCTGGATACGAGCGATCACGCATGAGCAGGATCACGTATCTATGTCACATAATGCTTGTGCGTGAACCTCTGTGCGCAAACATCTAGATATCCCCCTTTTCCTCTGTACAGAGGAAAAATAAGAAGCAATTAACACTAGTTACCTAACACCCCTGTGCAATGTTTACACTGTGCAAACCTCTCTGTCTTGTACGCATTTGCTGACACTAAGTGCTAGCTAGCAGAGAGTCTATTCAACAATAATTCTTTTTTTTTAAATAAGCTTTTAAGATAATATTAACATAAAATCTTTTTACTATAATTACTTTTTATAGTGTAAGATCTTTTATGTGCTTTTTTTATACTTTATTTAATACTTTTTTAAGCTTTCTAGTTCCTGTTTTTTAGATTAAAAATAACTAAGTGCTAGCTTTTACTATGTGTAAACTTTAAGCTTTTTTAAATAACTTAAGTATAAGTAGCTTTATACTATTTACTAAGTGCGTAGCACTCTTATTATTTAGAATTATGCTTATAGAGAGTAGGTAAGTGTTAAAATTTATAGTTATATGTATTTTTAGTTTTACTAAAAGCGCTAAGTTAAGAAGTGTAGTAATAATACTTTTTTAGAAATGCTAGCTTATTTAATTCTTTAATAGCTTTTAAAGTAAAAAAGGCTTTATTTAAAATTATATAGCTTTTTTTAAGTAGTACAGCTTTTACTTTTTTATGCTACACTTACTTAAGCCTTTTAAAAATTTTCTAGTGTGTAGTTTTACTAAGCTTTTTTAGCTTTTTAGTAACTACTAATATAAGGTCTTTATAGTCTGCTGCTTTCTATAAATAAAAGAATTACTCTAAAGCTCTGCATAAGCATAGGTAGCCTAATTAGGCTAAAATAAATTAGGCTAAATTATTATTTAATTATTTACTAAGTGTTATAAATATACCTATGCCTTAGTTACTTATATATAAAAAGTGCTTTTAAAGCATTATTAAAAGGATCTTACTAATTTTTTAGATTATTAAAAGTTTTTTACTAAGTGCGCTAGCCTCTATAACCCTCTAGTGCATAGAGCGCGCCTAGTTTAGTGTAAGCTTTAGAGCTAGAGCATTTAGAAAGTCTTATGCAGCTAGCTAGCCTTTTATGTTAAGAATTTTATAAGTTTTTACTTTAGTATATAAAAAGTGCTACTACTAGTACTAAGCTTTTAAAGTTATAGTGCTATACTTTACTTTAGTAAAGTTAGCTTTATACTTTACTTATATAAAATTTTTTATGCTTATATTTATTAGTGCTAGCTTTTATTTTAAAGCTTATATAAGTGCTTATAAAGTAGATTAGTTTTTTAATATAAGCTATATTATTATAAGTTCTAGAAGCTTTAGTGCAATAGTTGCATTAACCTAGTTCTAAATTATCTAAAGATATGTTATATAAAAAGCCTAGTTACTTAAGTAAGCTTAGTACTTAGTAATATTAGTTTAGTACTATATATTAGCCTTTTCTAAGAGGTTCTTAGTAGTAATTACTTTAAGTGTAGGTATCTCTAGAGCGCTGTCTATAGAATTTAGAGTGTCTAGTCTACCTAGATTAATTATGTCCTATAGGTTTTTGCTAAGAGTATAGAACTAGAGCTAGATAAACTAGAGAGGCTAGCTTGCGTAGTCCTTAAGCTAGTACACTCCTGTTAAGAGAAGAGCATCTTAATTAGCTATAATATAGGCTTTAAAGGTAATAAAGATAAAAAAAGCTTCTAAATAGCTTTTACTAGCGCTATAGTTATATAAAAAGAATTGTCCTAGGTTCTTAAAGCGCTAGGCCTATAACTGTAGAGGATAAAATAGCCTAGCAGTAGCTATTTAGAAGATTAGATAAAGTAACTCTGCTATCTAAGAGAGCTAAAGGCTCTTCTTATATACACTAAGCTTCAGAACATAATATCTCCAGATCCTGAGCTGCGTCCCAGGCTCTAAGCCCCAGTCCCAGGCTCCGAGCCCCAGCCAAGGCTCTCAGTATACGCGACATAAAGTAATAGAGAAATAATGTTACTAAGGTTTATCTAAAAAAATTATAACTAACTAGTGCATCTAAAAGAGGAGATTCTGCTTAGCTTTTTATTCTACAAACTTGAATACATTAAGCAAAGCAAGCTCTGCTAAAAACTAGCCTAATAGAAATATAATAATATATAACGCAGGTTATGTTATAAATTATATAACAATAATTGTAGCTAAAAGAGGAGGTGTAAACTTAGTAACACTAAAAAAGCAACTAGAAGCTTTTTAGCAGCTAAACTAAAGAATAAAAGAACTAATAAAAGGCATAGATATTTTAGCTAGATTGTCTTTTTATAGTTATATGTAAATTACTACTAGATACTTAGATTGTTCTTTACTAAATAATTATTTAAGTCTTACTTACACACACACATGTACAAGTACAGAAGCTTAACACATTATTACTATCTCTTCTTAAACTATTGTTTGTTCCTAACGCACGATACACCCCCCCTGCCTAGTTAAAAAGAGAGACGGCATCACTTATCTCCTAAGGACTTGGTAGAGATAGGTAAAGGAAAACATAACACATAGAAGCTCTCTAGGGGGAGTCTAAGGCATGTTCTAGTCAATTGTGACAAGTTTACTAAGAATACTAAGCCCTATCTAGTGTTAAAATCTAATGTCAGGGCAGGGCTCCTCCCTACTCCACTATTACAACCAGAAAGGTGCGAATAATCAACGAACGGTTGAGTCGCGCGCAGAGCAGTATGTATACCCTTCGCGCGTAAGCGGTACTTGCAGGCCACCCTAGCAACTCCCAAGCTACCCCGTAGATCACACTACGGTTTTACAACTAAGCCCCATATAGTTTCATCTAAACCCTGAGACAACGCCACGTTTATCTAAGTATAGCTGTGCCGCAATAAGACGCTCCTGACTACCCCGCCGCCTCCTTCCCTAACATCACTGACATCATTCAGGGCCGCTCTCACTACAATGAAGAGGGCTTTCAAATACTTCCAATCCACACTTTCTAAGGCTAGCTGGAAGTGCTTCGCTAACATCTACTACTCGCGATGTCCATCTATGTGCCTCAAACGTCGTCTACGACTCTAGGAAAGGCATCACTCACCGCATCATCTTCGATACATCAACCACTAAGATATACGGCTACCCGTCTCGTGGCGGTGTCATCATGCTAGAGTGTTCCCCGCCCCCAGACTTTAATTTCCTGGTACTAGGCCGCGTGTATCCGCTCGTGTTCGAGTCTGGGGATTCCGAGGAATAAGATACATTTCGTTAGAGGCTGCTATTGCTGGGTGCGAGGTAGTGGGATTCGATGGCACGGTACTGGCTACCGAACAGTGAAGATTGTTCAGCTGGATGATAGCGATGAGCCGGAGCCGACGAAGCGGGAACGACACTAGGTCAGCGTAGCGCGGCCGAGCGCGGGACGGCTTATAGCCTCCGAATTCGACACAAACATGTGGGACGTCGAGAGCGAGAAAGAGCTCGTTCCTAATGATGTTGTGCAGTTCCGGCTGTGCACGAGCATCGATGGGGAGCCGAAGATCCTTAGGAATAGATTTCGAGGGAAGGAGTGGAGGGGTGTGGCAAGGCAATGCGTTTATCGGCGGTTGGAGGCAGAATGGAACTGGTGAGGTTGTAGAGTTCCAGAAGATATGGCGGGAGCCTTGAGGTGCATATATTTATGGTAGAAGCACCTAACCAACCCGCGGTAGGAATATCGGGATTCTCGTTAGGTCGCAGCTCTTAAAGGCTGCTGTCTCAGAGCATTAATCCCTTGATCCAGGGTCCTGCAGGAACGCTCTCGTTCGACAATCCTGCGATTCTAAGTGTCACAAATTTTTTTCCTCTCAATGTTATGCAAATGCTATATTGAATGTACACACCGCTGTTGGACTAACGATGTCTAAACGAAACCTGCCCAATAGCAACAACCTTATATCCGTCAGACCGGGCTGAATCTTCGTGCGCCCTTGGCTATGCGGCATGATTCTGCAGAATGACAACATGTCGTCCGGTGCTCCTATGAGTGTCGGTATACCTCACGTCGCAGGTAGTGAACGTGTATCATCGTGGACAACTACTTACGCAACTTTCCGTCCTTAATGATCCTTCTAACAAGGTCTGTGCGAGCCCTTCGAGCCCTTGCAGAGCGATAAGCAACGCAATTGGACGTCGAAAAGTTTGTGCCTCGAACAAAACATGTACGCTGGTATTAGCGGACTTCGCAACATTTCGCCCCATAAGCGCCAAGCTTGCGAGTTTCGCCTCAGCCTATGATTCGCTAGCTCCTTAGAAAACGATGACCTTGTGGCTGATCACCCATTAAGAACCCTTTCGGTCGAGCTTGCGATATGCGCTTCTGCCGAGGGCTTCAAAGGCCACAGCGCCTCGAGCCATGGAGCTGTACTTAATAAACACCCTCCTCTCAAACAAAAAATCACACACTATTCTTCTATCTTCCAAATTCGTTTTCTTAGCAGACTTGTTTCATCGAACACACAAAAAGAAAGCTATCAATCATTGCTACCAAGCCTCTGTTGTTTCGTTACCCCTACTCTCGAATCTTTCTTTGCGACATTTTGTTCGAGGAATCACAAAACCAGACAAACCCGAACTCTTCCCCGTAAAACCCAATTCTAAGCTAGTATATCCATCCAGTCATGTCCCGAGGGTTTGAAAGGCTTCCCTCTATCGATGCCGATGAACCTCGATACTATGGAAGTTCGTCTATAGACATGGCGGAGGAGAGACTGTCATACGATCAGTATCGCCATCGACGAATGACAGATAGCTCATCAAACGCGTCACTTGTGACCGGCAAGCCCAATACGCCAAAGGGGACTAAGGACGACGAGCACAAGTCAGCACCCCTCGGTAAATCAGTCAAGCAGTACTCGACGCTAGTCTGGTGGATGCTGGGCTTGTCTATCGCCATCCTGTACAGTGGCTACGATTCTGTCATTCTTGGAACACTCAACGCTGTGGACGCGTATCAGCGCGACTGGGGAGAGTGGATGTTTAACGATGACCCGAAGCCAGAGAAGGCGAAATGGGAATGGACCATTCCAGCGTTATGGCTCTCGCTTTGGGATGGAATAGGCCCGCTTGGTCAGATAGCCGGAACCGCACTCGGGGGCTGGCTTGTAGATCGAAGGGGTCGAAGGTTCTGCCTTATGGTGGGTAGCACTATCGGTATAGTCGCTATCCTAGAACTATTTTTCTCAAACAGGCCCGCGGACAAGGAGTGGAGGCGCATCATGCTCCTCATAGGCAAGGTCCTCCAAGGCTTTGGGCTTGGAATCATCAAGATTGGGACTATTACATACATGTCCGAAGTCACTCCTACAAAGCTGAAGGGTCCGATCATGTCTTTGATTCCCACCTTCACTCTTTTCGGGCAGTTTATCGGTGCCATCATCATTTATGTTGTCTCGGAAGATTTGAATCCCCGATCATACCTGATCGCTCTAGGATCTCAATGGGCAGTCGCCATTCCACCTTTCATAATGGCTTTCATCTTGCCCGAGTCCCCGGCTTACCTGCTCCTCAAGAATGATAAGAGCGGCGCTCTCACATCATTCAGGCGGCTCTTGGGCCCTAAGAATGATGCCAAGGCAGCGGTTGACATAATGGAACACACCATTGAAGAGGAGGCCAGGAATGCGGTCAGCGCTACGTATTGGGACTGCTTCAACGCCGCTAATCGCCGCCGGACCTTAATCGTTATGTTCGCAGGCTGTATCGAGTTCTTCTTTGGTCTATCGCTCCTATCATCCGTCAGCTATTTCCTCCAGCAAATGGATATGGAAAGCGGTAAAAGTATCCTTTTCCTGATCGGCGGAATTTTCATTGGTACCCTCGCCAATCTCGGTTCGTCCTGGACCATCAGTCACTTTGGACGTAGACAGCTGGTCACGACCTCGTTTCTCATCGCTGCCGGGCTGTGGGGTGTCATGGGTTTTGCAGGAATCAAACAGTTCCCTTGGACAGCTTGGCTCGCGGGAGGACTCTGCACAGCGATCATCATTGTCTGCGGTCTTGGGTGCTGGCCCGCATCCTACGCTATCCTTGGAGAGACGAGTTCTCTTCGTCTGCGCTCCAAGACTATGTCCCTTGGAAGCTTGATGAATAACCTGACTGGCATCCTGGCAAACTTCGTGCAGCCTTTCCTCTATAATCCGGATGCCTTAGACTTGGGCGCGAAAACCGGTTTCGCGTTTGCAGGATTAAGTCTGGTTGGCGCGACTTTCACGTATTTGTTTGTCCCGGAGCTGAAGGGGAGGAGTGCGCTTGAGATTGACAACTTCTTTGCGAAGGGAGTTCGGGCAATCGGGTCCACGAAATGGCGAGATACGCATGAGGAAGTACCGTTAGATGATACTAGATCGTAGATTCCACTTTTATGTTGTATGGGACTTGGTAGTGGTTAGAATGAAGAGGAAATCGATCGGAAAACAGATAAATTACTATATATACACTTCGAAACCTAACCGTTGTAGGCAGTGTCACTTTCAATCATGCTCCACGATGTTCCTAATCATCTACCTACCTGTCCTTTATGACCTTCAGTAGAATCATCATCTAAAGCAACTAACATATATCCTTCCCAGTCCCTGTCCGCTAGGCCTCCGCCGTCCGAGCCACGGCATCGTCTACAGTTCTACTCCATTCTCTATCCCAAATCTCTCCATAGCCGGCTTTCTAATATTTCCCTTGCCTGCATCCATGGCCACAGCCACCTCGAACCAGCCTGTTTTCGTTAGGTTCCACTTGGATCCGACCAGTATTGTGCCCGGGAGGTCGATTCCAGCCATTCCGCTATCGTGTGCTAGGATGAGTCTTCCTTGTCCTTGCCTATTAATAACTTAGCCATGCTGCCACTGCCCCTCGCCCACCACGCGCAAAACCCGTAGATTGTAGCTCCAGCAAGTCTCATGACTCCATCCATGTGTCGCACGTGTCTCACGCGATATCATACCCATGTACTGCACTATTCACTCATTAGGCATAGCTCCTATCTCGTACAGTATATAGTCAGCTTAGAGCTCTATCGAGCTCCTCAGACCTTACAATACACTCATTCCACCTTGTTTGGATCTCGATCCCTTGTCGAGTCGTTTGCCATATGTCCCCTCCTCAGCTCATGCAAGAGTTATGAGCCCGGAGTCGCGCTCCTGACTAGTCCTCTAGTCACCACTGCACAGTTAGCTTTTGCATCTAGCTTC